TCTTCCAGCTGCCCGGGCCCCGCGAGGCCAAGTTTGCTGATGGGGGGACACCGGGTGAGGACCACCGCTGCTCTGCCACGGGATGGGGCTTGGGCAAAGGGGTGGGTGATACAGGGATTCACCCAGGCTCCGAGGTTTTAGAGAAGTAGCTTAACTTGTTTTTTTAATTAAATTAATTCATTTTATTTAAATGTTTTAAATCAATCTCACATGACCTCCTGGGCATCGCTGGCCTCTGGATGCCTCTGCTGAGAGCAGTTGGATGAGAATGGATTTTACTTACATGAATTTTTTAGATTTTTTTTTTTCCTCGCTCTCTTTTTAAATGTATTCTTAATGGATCATTTCTTTCAGGGTCCAAATGGCACACGGTTTGTTGTGCTGCTTAAATACTTTCCAAGTAAATGGAGCAGTTCTGTGGTTTGAGCGTAGGCTTGTACGGAAAGCCAAACCGCTGCCCAAGCCGAGCCAGCGGGGACGGTGCCGGAGCTGCGCTGGCTGAGGGCTGGGGTTGTGGGAGCTTCCTCTGCGGCTGCAAAGGGGAGATTTCCCTTCATTGGGCTTCTCCTTCCGTGTGGTTCAATAGCGATGTCAGGGAAAAGATTGAGAGAGTGAGAAAGCAGATGGATGATGGGTTTTGCTCGCACAGTGTAAATAAACCGGAGCCCAGGAGGATGGTGTCTGCTGGTCCAAACATTCAGCGGGATGGGGCAACCAGGAGTCTGGATCAATTCCCTCACTACGATGGTTTTATAGGAAATTGGTTAATAGAAAACATTGCTCACAATCTCATAGTCTTACTTTTTCCTTCTCTAAGTCATTTTAAGCAATTGACTTTCCAAACGCTCGTTTCGGGCTTTGTGAGCAGAATTTGAGTTTCCATCCCAGTGACGTGGGGCAGAAATCCCCTGTAAAAATAAACTAGATGAAAATTAAAAATCCTACCCTGTTTTCTAATGCACAAAAGTTAAAGCCAAATGTGCGAGTGACGGGATACATTCTTCCTCACCAGCCCCTGTGCGGTGTCCCGTATCCTCTTGGTTTACAAAAAACCAAAGGGACCAAGCGCAGGCTGAGCGGTGTTGCTGGTGGTTACTGGTGATGGAGAATCTACAAGAACAAAGCTGTGCCTGCGGAGAGGTGACGGCAGTTCAAATTGAGTTTTGTGCCAGCTGTTTTTAAATTATGATTATGAGAGATTTAAATTGCTGCGACACAAACCCTTCCTGAGCCCCTCGGTGTCTGCAGGAGCATCGACAGCAGCATTTATTTTGCTTTTCCACCAAGCTCAT